ATTTCTAGATTTCCTACCTTGGCCCCAAACTTAGTTCCTGTTCTGTGTCTCTTGATCTCCAAAGTATCTTCTACTAGAACCATCAATGTGTGAAGTGTTTACTCCACCATAAGATATAAGACAGAGCAAGGAGAGCTGAAAACCTGATCCAGCTGTCAGTACTACTGCTCTACAGTTAGGTTCCCAGACAGACTTTGGCATGGGAAAGAACAGAAATTTGGCTCTGTAGTTTCCTTAATACCATTACCTCAGGTGCACTATTGTTCAGTCTTCTTTTACAGGTTGGCAAGAACCCAACACTAATGCTATTTCTTTGTGATATGCATTACGAACTTTAAACCAAGGATAAACATATGAAGTTTCAGAGCATAATATGTTGATACACTGGGGACAATTTGCATTTTGGAAGAGTATATAGGAAAATATAGGACAAATATGGACAAAGTTGAATATATGTGACTTCAAACATTAGCTTTTAGGAATAGCAATTTTTTTTCCTACATGGGTCTTGAATTGTGTCCTATGAAAATACTGTTTTACATGAGGTATGTGGGTTTTTAAGTTCCAAATCTAAATAACAGGCCAACATTGACAATTGGAAAGAACATCATTTAAAAGAATGTTCCTTCAGGATAGGACTGGTGTCTTTTCACCTCTATTTGTTCACACCTAGCTCAGCTAGTTCCTGGCATAGAGTCAGATTTCAATAAATGTTGATGAATGTTGTTTTTAAATAAACAGAATGCTCTTGGTGACTATGTCTATTGAAGCAAGTATTCCTAACAGAACTAAATTATTTATCTTAAAATCAGCCTCTCTTCTTCTAAGTCCTTTTCTTTGTTGCTTATTTATACAGTGTGCAATTAAATGTTGGCGATGATGGAATATTGGTTGAATGCCCAGACCAAGAGGAAAGATTCACATCCTGTCTTATTTGAATATCACACTATCTTTGGATAAGGGAGTCAAGAGTTGGTTTGGAGCTTTTGTATTTAGTTTGTCACTTTGTTCATTATTTGTCCAGCATCCTTTCTGGTTGATAAAAGGAGGCACAGTCCCAGTGGGAGCTCTTTGAGGCAGGGCTTCTGTTCTGTTCATCTTTATGCCTCCTATTAACACTCCTATAACACCCTTTCCTTTAGTTAGAGAGGCAAGGAAATGACCACTGTTTGTTAAGTGTCTACTAAATCAGGAACTGTTCTGGGCAGATTATACAAATGGTTTCATTTAATCATGCAGAAGTCTTAGGACATCAATTATTCTTAAGAGTTGAGAAAACGGACGAACACTAGGCTCAAGGAATTTGCCATATTCACATAGTTATGAGCTTCATCATTGTACACTCAACCACTAGGAGAGTGCCCACATTATATATGTTGAGCAAGTAAGTGAACATATGCTACAGTCTGTTCTGAGATGAAAGTCCTAATTCTGAACACTACTTAGTGTTGTCTCCCCAATCGATATGCTCTATTTTAAAGCAACAACAATGATTTGAGATGTTTTGGTGAACGTACAATGTTTTTCATGTTTGACTTATACATAACAGACATTCATCTAATTATATTTATATACACTTTTTTCATAGACATCCAAGTGGAGAAGTTGAGTGATCATTTAGATCAAAATCTCAGAGGGTCCCAGGAGAGGCTGGATTAGAAGTCCTTTGAGTTGAGAGTCATTAAATCAAAGTATCAAATATTTTAAGGGAAGATTAGTGGCAGAGGAATCATCTGAGAAAACTGAGGAGGATCTGCAAGAAGGGGAGAGAACCAAAGACAGCATTGTTATGAAGACATGATCCTGTCAACTGTGGAGAGAATGGGAGAGAAGAAGATGGGCACAGGGACAGGGACTGTGGGCCTCCTATTCAAAAAGGACGGCAGGAAATTGGCAAGCGAAGAGGGGAAACAAGGATGAGGCAATCAGGTGGATGTTTTTGGAAAGTTGAATAGAGAATTATTTGAAAAGTGGTAAGATGGAATAAAGAAGAATACCTAAGGAAGATACTGTAAACCACTGGAAGAGCAACTGGGCAAGAGACACACCACTTCCTCTGAGGCAGGATGTGAGAGGTAGGTGTATTGAAAAGCAAGTCATGGGAAAAGTGATTTGCTCATATTATAAGTTCAATTATAATTTTAACAAGTTATGTGAGATCTTGTTAGGGTAATGATAATAAATGGCTCAAAAGCAAAATCCTCCCTTTCCTCACAGGGAACTTAATGCATAAACAGGACAAACAGAGAAGCACAATTCACAATAGCTAAACTGTGGAATCAACCTAGATGCCCTTCAATAGATCAATGGATAAAAGAAATGTGGCATATATATACACAATGGAATATTACTCAGCAATAAAAGAGAATAAAATCATGGCATTTGCAGGTAAATGGATGGAGTTAGAGAAAATAATGCTAAGTGAAGTTAGCCAATACCCCCAAAAAACAAATGCCGAATATTTTCTCTGATATAAGGAGGTTGATTCATAGTGGGATAGGGAGGGGGAGCATGGGAGGAATAGACGAACTCTAGATAAGACAGAGGGATGAGAGGGGAAGGCAGGGGGCATGGGGTTAGAAATGATGGTGGAATGTGATGGACATTATTATCCAAAGTATATGTATGAAGACACGAATTGGTGTGAATGTACTTTGTATGCAACCAGAGATATGAAAAAATTGTGCTCTATAATGTAATAAGAATTGTAATACATTCTACTGTCATGTATTTAAAAAAAAAGAAAGAGCTAAAGGAAAGATCTGACAAAAAGAAAAAATGTTTGAGATCATGAGAAAATCATGTAGTCACCTTCTTTCCCTCTGGGTAAAAAACAGGTTAAAATGAATATGGTGGGGGGCTACGGTTGTAGCTCAGTGGGTGTGAGGCACTGGGTTCGATCCTCAGCACCACATAAAAGTAAATAAATAAAATAAAGACATTCTGTCCATCTACAACTAAAAAAAATTTTTAAAGAAAAGAACGTGGAGGAAATTCCTGAAGAGAAAAATGAGATCCATATAAGGTTTGAAATAATAGCCAGTCAGTACTATGCATGTCTAGAACACTTGGTGGCTTTCATTTCCCATGCTCCCTATCCGCCCTTACTCCTGTGCACGTGTTTGTCGTCCCTTCTTCCTGCCACATTGCCCTCGCCATCTCCTTCTTACCTTACCTCCTTACAGCAAGCCTCAACCCCCTTTCTTCTCTGACACTGGGGGTACTTATTACCTGGCTCTCAGCTGCCCAACCCATCTGCCATGCATCAGGGTTTTTGGGGACATGTTTTATCTATCCCATTCAATGCTGTGTATCTAAGTCAGGGAATGTCTTCTACTGTTCTCTTGTCCTCCACCACCTCTTGAAAAAAATTTTACTAAATTAACATAATTCCCTTTTTACAGATGAGAGAATACACCTAGCTGAGATTAAACAATAGAATTTACAAATGTAGGATTTAGAATTGAAGTTCAAAATGCACCTCGTGTGATCCCCAAGCCTATGTTCTCTTCCTAAACTGTTTGTCCTTCTTGAAACTTAGTGGCAGGGGAAGGGGCCATGTGAAAGGAGAAGGGTAAAAACATAAGCTAATCCACAAAGGCTCAGATGACCCCAGGAACATCAGCTGAGTCACTTTGTTTCCTCTTCCAGAAGGATTTGTGATGCCATTGTCCTGTCATGACTTCCATTCCCTGGTTACTCTCACCCTGTGAGACTCACACTCAGTGTGCTCAAGTAGGGATCTAGCTGTTCCTTAGGGTATCTATGAACATATACATAGAGATTACTAATGCCATTACCAGAATAATCATAGGTTACATTGTAAGCACAGTTATCTCATTCAGAACAAACCCATCTAATATATACCCTTGCTTTTATTAGGTATATTGCAAATTGACATATCTTAAAAGCAATTGTGTACATATCATATCTGTATATTTGAAAAGAGGGATCAAATAAAATGTATTTATAATTGAAAACAATGTGGTGTACAATTACAGTGACTCAGGCAACAGACCAAGTTGTGTCTTATCATATGTCTGCCCTAGTTTTTACTGTACCCAGGTGAGATTCTTTCTTTTTTTGGAACTGGATGGCTCTTAGCTACTTTCCAAAGCCCACCTTTCAAAATATTAGCTAATAATAATTAAAAGTAGTACACTTACAAAGAACATTTGTAGTTTAACAACGTAGGACCCCCAAAGAAATGACTATTGGTAGATTTCATTCACTGATTTAAGCTGTGAAAGAAAATTTTAGTTTTTTGGTATGATATTTGGAGAAATTATAGTCAGTACATGGCAACCTTCTATTATGTCTAAAAATGAAGTCTATTCTGATTATATGGTTTATACAAAAATATGCCTTGTTGTATAGGAGTTATGGTCTTTTACTGTCAAGATTTAATTTAGTTTAAAAAAATCCCTCCTTAGATCTTCCTTTTTGCTCTTGTATCAAACATACAGGACATGACATGTGAAAATATAAGAATTACCTGGAAGCAAGGGAAGCCTTTTCCTTATCTATTATCTGGTAGAGGTGACGCTGAGGTTGAAAGGAAAGCCCATTTTTTTTTTGTAATTAATATTTTCCTTGTAATAACCTGGCCTTTTGATCTCCTTCATTTTTACAGTGCTAACTAATAGCCTTGACAACAGGTCCCTTTTTACTTTATGTCTTTGAAAGATTTGTCCTTAGAGTATGTCTCTTGTATCACAAATTTTATCTATAAAGGGTGTAAACAACTGATTTGGGGGCTCCCAAGCGGTTTCCCATTTCCTTTTGCCTCCCTTTATTCTCTGCTTGCAGTAATCTATAAAAATGGACACAAGAGAAGTCCTTATGGATTGCCTTTGAGAAAGCAAGATATTGATAGAAAGTGGATCACAGCAGTCCAAGGGGATGATTCGCCTGCACTTACTGTAGACGTACTCAAACTTTGCAGATGGTGGGACCACAGGGAGCAAACTACAAAGGAATTCACAGCCACCACAACAATATGTGTTTGCTTGGAGCAACCAGGTTACATTTATTTGGTACCAAGCAAAGTGGAGAATAACCCTATAGTCGAGTTACTTCCTCTTTTGAGGAACCAAAAAGGCAGTAAATGTAGTTGAAAACAGAGAGACAGATTGTGGTCAAGCTTGTAATTGGTCCAGTGAGTGAACAGTCTCTCTTGGGAATGATCTGTGGTTCCTCAGGAAAGATGACTGGCCTAGAAAGAAGCCACTGGATGAACTCTTCTAACTTGGTAGCACTAAGGAAAAACCTCCACTTTCCTCCATGAACAAAAGTTAGCTTGATCCATGTTCCAAAGTCTGGGTAAATATAAATATTTGACCTTGCCTTTTTTAAGCTTCTCGATGCCGTTTTTATGTTACTTTCCTTCAGAGTTTCAATTTGAGGAGAAACTGGTTTTTCCTCAAGATGACCAGTGGGCTCTGGATAACTGGGCATTTTCTCTGGTTCTGCTGGAGAGATTTCAGAATCTTTGGATGCTGACGTGTTCTTTGAAGTTTCTGATTGTATGTATTTATGAAGCAATTCTATGATTTCTTTACCTCTTTCTCCCTTCAGGACTTCTAAACAATGTGTGCTGGGGCAAGAACTCTGGTTTTCCAGCTCTGAAACCTTCTTCTTTAAAGCATCAATGTCTTTTTTCATAGAGAGGATATCTTTGGTGGCTGTGTCTTGTTTGTCTTCATTAACAGTCATCCTGGTTTCTAGGACCTCCATCTGCTTCTGATAATGGTCAATCTTTTCCTGGATTTTTGATACTGCACTGACAATATCGGTCATTTGGCCGAGGAGTTCAATTTGGGAAATTTTAATATCTTGCAGCATTACTGTAAGGTTCATTTCTTCATCCAAACTGACATCATGTTGATCACCACCACAGGAAGTCATTGTTGGATATCTAGTTGAATCTGGGTGCTGGATCTTACGTTTTTGGTAAACATTTTTAAGAGATTTTCTGATCTTGCAGAGATTTGAAGTCCACATATGTCCAGCAGCTGCTTTTGCCCTTTGGGTATGAAATCTGTACATCTTTCATTGCGAAATAAGATGCAAGGTATTGGCAAATGTGATCGCAGGAAGACGTAGTGTCAGAATGAAATGACCTTCTTTTGCTATTTGCTGGATTTCTTTCCTGGTAGCTGCATAGAAAGCTCTATTGAGAACAGCCAAGGCAACAACGGGTACTCTTAGTTGTTAGCTTCTTCATAGGTGGCCCAACTGGAGAATTCTGTGAAGTAATGGTCAGCTGCATGGAATCCTTCCAGGGGTAATAATTGGCCTGATGCTTGATGTCACAATGTCTGCTGGTTTAGAACTTATTTAAGCATATTACAGTGGTTCTCAAGATTTTGTCACAGAACTCTTTTTTTCACTTGTAAAAATTATTGAGGACCACAGAGTTTTTCTTAATGTGAGTCATAGCAATTGATATTAAACATTACAAATTAAAACCAAGAAAGCCTTAATTAATTTTTTAAAAAAATGATTGAATACTAATCTACATGACATATTTTTGTGAAAAATAATAGTTTTTTATAGAAAAAATGAGAAAAGTGACTTATTGATTTACATATCTGTAAATGTTTAAAATGCCTGGATTTATAGATGATACCTACAGTCTCCTACCTGTTTTTTCATTTGTGATATGTTTTGGTTAAGTGTATGAAAACAAAATGGCCTCTGGAGATATGTAAATTGAAAGGGGAAAGAGTATCTTACCAGTCTTTTCAGATAATCGAGGATATTATTCTTTGCTATTCCACCAAAATTCGACAAATAATAATTTTTTACTAGTTAGTCTCTCCAGAAAAGTCTGAGTGAGGGAAATGGAAAATATTGAAGAATGATATTGACCAAATCATATTGCCATATCCTGTGTACATACAAATATGTAACATCCAACCTCACTATTATATGTAATTATCATGTATCAGTAAAAATATAGAAAAGAGTATAAAGTTAAATTTTAAATAGATTAACATTTTAATTATAATTAAAAGTAAATTATAAGCAAAAAGCAGTCTTTGAGTATTAGGAAGAGTTCAAGCTTATGGTAGCAGATATAGATTTTCCAAAATTCTAATTTTGGCTCAGAAGCTTCAATTTTATAAAGTGTGTTGTTTTCCTTGAAGTGATAGGTTCTCCACTTCAATTTTTGTGCAAAATGCTTGCCAAATGCTGAAATCTGAATACTATTGTTTGTTGCCAGCTATTTTTTTTTTCCCTAACCATAAATGGTCCTTCATGAAAAAATGGCTAGTTCAGTTTGTAACTAAAATAAGTACTTTTTCTCTGGATAGTCATTATACTTTGGGAAAGCAGCAAAAGTACTTTATTCATGCTTCCCATTATATCATATATACTATAAAAAAGATGTATTAAAGAATTGAGATTTAAGATCTTTCTTTTTTTTTACTACTTAATCAAGAGCATCTTGAGTAAAAAATGTTTTCTTGTATTTTTTCTGTTTGAGTGGTGTAGAATACAATGTTTATTGGCCACTACCTTGGTTTTTGCCAAGGTGTCATCAATTTTATCCATTGTTGCTTTTGCAGTGGACTTTTCAAAGTGCAAATTAAAAAAGACAAATGATATCCTGGTATTAGTTAAAAATAGTTTTGTCCGCTATATGTTACACTTTGAGAACCATTACCTTAGAGATTAAAAATAACATCATACATTTCTCATGTGTCTTTTTATAGGTTTTTCTAAATAGCAGTCCTTAAAATCAAACCTGTTGAAATACTAAATAATACTTCCCCAATTTTATATATTGAAGTAAAGGCTTAATTTTATTCTCTAAACATTAAGACTGAAAATTTTGGAATTAAAATGACATGATACCTGGATGTCTCTCATGGAGTAGTACTTTTCTATTCAAGAGGATTTAAATTTTTTTTTTTTTTGGATTGGTGCCAGTTCCAATCTTCTACTAAATGACTATTAATTCTCTTATTTGTGCCAAATTGCGCGGTGAGTTTTGGCCCAGGTTTTGGTATGAACTCTGAACTTGGCCAAAAGTAATTTATGAATTTTGGCTCGTCAACACTATCTGGGATTTTACTTTACTCTCCTATCTTTGAATTGCTATTTAGTAACCTTTCCAAAATGTTCAGAAACCTTTCCAAAATCTTGCTGAGGAAAAATGTTCTGCAGGAGGCCGGCTACTACAGGAATGGTACTCAGGGCCAGAAAGGTTCTCTTTCAGAGCTGTTCCATTTACCTGGGCCAAGACCATTGTATCCATCAGGCTCCACAGACACAGTGCTTAGGGCTTGTGAAGTTTCCAATAAAATGACTTGAGAGCAGAAAGAAAAAAAAAAAAAGCAAGTGCTCAGAATACTAAAAGAAACCTGCAAGATTGAAACAATAAATATTTAATTAAATGTCTCTGAAATGTACTATATCATCTTCATTAATTGTTAAATTTAGTACTATTAATATTTCAGTACATTTGGAGGAGCTTTGTAGATTAGGTATTTTTACTTTATAAGAATTCCCAATTAAATTAGAGAGATTGCTTGTAGTAATTACTCCCTCCAGATTAATAACAGCCAGTCTTATTGGGCGTCTACCAGGCACTATTACATATATCGCCTTATTTAACTGAAGTTCAGAGATGTCAAGTAACTCTCCTATGGGAATATATCTAAAAAATGGGCAGAGCCAGATCTTACATTCTTACATTCTAGGTCTAGAGTCCACATTTTTACTTCTACTGCCACACAATTGTGATTAAAAAATATATTTGTCACAACCCAGGAAGAGATGGACATTTTTTTTTTAGTCTTAAAAGCACACTATGTATTTATAAAAGGCTTCATTTTATTGAAACTTTATTTGTTTAGCAATATAAGAAGACTAAAGCTTTAGCTGTTTATTTTATTTACCAGAACCATTTGATGCAGAAATTCATAACATCTTTGGGAGCTGAATTAGTCTAATTCATAAGTTAGAATGCACATTAGAGCTTATTCTTGCCTTACTATAGTAATAGTATAAACAACTGGAATAAAAAAAACAATCATTTAAAAGTTCACAACCAAAATTATTCTGATTATTTTATAATACAAATTAATCTTGTAGGTTTGATACCAACACCAACCCTTCTGAGTTTCTAGCTGCAGGTCTTGCTAGTTGGTGTTTTTGAAGGGAGCCCAGTCCACTGGGATTTGTTAGTTAGAAGCTGTCGTGGGAGGATCTAAGCCTGGGTGAAATTGCGAAGGCAGTCAAAAAGTGAATGAACAATGGGAAATGAGCTGACTTCCCCTCTTAGGGTCGCTGCCAGGGAGACATTTGGGAATAAAATACCATGCTAGATTGGAGCTTAGTGGGAGACTGCCTGAGGAAAAATGTTCTCCCAGAGCCCAGCTCACTGGAGAAAGGTATTTGGAGCTATAGAGGTTGGAGCATGAATCTGGCCCATGACTGACTCTGCCTTCAGCATGCTGTTAACCTCACATGTGCCTGGAGAATAGGATAATAGCAGCACCTCGTTGGCAGAGTAGTTCTGAAGATTAGAGTGCTCAGTATTTGTAAACCCCTTTCCTCCCGCTCTGTAACCACCCCCTCCTCACTTCCCTCCTGCAAATGAAAGAAGGAAATGGCTCAGAGTTCCAACTCAGCTCACTGTTGCCATCTCTTGCTGTGCTTTTCTCTCTCTTAACATGACCAAGACATGCAGCGGTTGCTCACTGTTCAATATAATGATTGAGCATCTTGATTGGAGACACCCGGCTGCCGCTGACGAGGCCAAACAGGCACTCTGTCTCCTGGTTCAGCTTCTCAGCCAGCCAGGGTGTCAGGCAGACGGTGTGGAATAACCTCCACAGAGACAGCTCTAATAGTAAATAATATTTATTACTCGACACTGCTGTGTTTGGGTACACAAACTGTAAATTAATTATGATAGAGTCCATATTATCTGTATAAAAGGCACCCTAATTTACATTCCTTTTTAATATGTTTTCTTGAGTGGGAGAGAAAGGATAGTTACAGGGATCCTGCCAGCAATTGGGCACTTTGGAATCTTCATGTTACACCTTAGTTACCTGCTATTCCTCGTGTGCCCTTCATGGTGGCAACTGTGAAAAGTTATTGAGTCTTTAATTTCCCCACCAAATTTGGGGAACACGTTCATAAGAATCTACTGCCCCTATCCCAGCCCCTGCAACACCTGAGTATTATCTGTCACTTGCAGGATGGGATAAAACAGGATTAAAACAGGAAACAGGAAGTCCTTTTTCAATTTGATCAGAGTAGCTGACCCAAGGAGATTAGAATGTATTAATTAGTTTCCATCTGCTGTTACACAAGCAAAGTATTTGGGAAGGGTCCGAAGGTGAAGCCATCTTCTACTTTGCTTTCTTTTTTTTTTCCCACGAGAAATATAGAGAATTGGATGAAAACCAGAGCAGTTTTACTGGACGAAGACCAGGAACTAGAGGAAAGCAGAGGCAGTATTTGAAAGGCGGGCAGGGTCTGAGGTAGCGAAGATAGGTGACCAGCTGAGGGAAGTGCTGTGGCCAGGGACACTGACAAGGCAAGCTGGTTGGAGTGACACTTGGGTACATGAGAGGTCCATGTGTGCTCTGTGGTGTCACGTCAGTGAAGACATGTTAAAATCACATGAAACCAAAAATTGGTGAACACTCTCAAAGAAACGAGGGAATGTTAACATAGTATTTGGTAATGACAACTTACTTTTCCACTATGACTAAAATTGTATGGTCTCTTTCTAGAATGCTCCCCCCGCCGCCCCGCCATTTATATCCTTCACCCCATCTTCTAGAGGGAGTATCATCCACACTGCTTTCCTTGTTCTGCTTGTTCAGATTCTCTTTGTTGTCTCACCAGTGCTCCCAACTGGTTCTTCGTCTCTACCTAGCAGTGACTTACATATCAGGTTGTCATTGTTGGTGAGCCTAACTCCCCGCTAACCTCTGAGTCTCTTCTTGAGTAGAAGACTTGCTTCAGTGCTTCCAATGTCACAAATCCTGACATAGGTTGATACTTAGTAAATCTTTCTCCAATGAATGAATGAATGCCCCCATGGATAATTGTCAAGATGTCCATTAGGTCTCTTCTGAGCCTATTTCTATGGGTGGTAGGAAATATATTGCTTTCCTCATGAGGGGAATAACTTTTCTCGCATCCTGGGGGATCATTTAGCAATTTCAGGATAGGGATTTAATAATTACTTCCCCAAAGACCTGAAGCAGTTAAGTGTCAGGAGAGGTAAT